AATCAAATTGAAAATCAAATTGATGATGCACCAACCTGGCCTGGATTGGCTAATCGGGAGGACCGGGAGAATTCCTGGTTTGCCGGTCTGTTTTTTGACCGCGAGGGCCGGTGTCCCTAGCTGCTTGCACTCTCAGCAGTCGCTCTTTTTTTCATTTATTTATTTATTTGACCATAGCCTCACTATTTTTATTCATTATTTTGCCGCAGCTCTGCTCTTTTTATTGATTTACTCACAGCCCCGTGAGCAAAATGCAGCCTGCAGGTTAATGATGATGTAACTATCATTCGAACCCAATCAGCGGCACCTTAGTGAATATAGAAATTCGAATTATTAATATTAATGAATGTTACAACTCCTCAATAAAAACCAAATGATTCACTACATTAATAAATCTGACATAACTTGATAAGTGGTTAAGAGTCTTGCGGATAACAGTTCAAAATGTATTTTTTATTTCAAGAATAACAGTGCCATATGTGGTCCAGTGGTCAGCACATTGCATTACAACGCCGCTGACCTGTGTTCGAGCCTCACTTAAGTAATTGATACAATTATTATTATTATTTTATTTTATTTTTTTTCATTTTTATTGTTAAGACATATAATACCGTTGGGGTTGTTGAACATTTGAAGTTCTAAAGCAGCTGTTTTCTTGAAAAAGATGTGATAGTGTCATTAGAAACTGAATTAGAAATGACGTTATTTTAATAGTCAGTCGTGAACTGAGGTGGGCCGGTCAAGGCTCAAAACTCCAGGGCTTAAAAGGAGTCCCACTCCGGCCCTGGCACCAACCTCCAATTATGCTTTGGATGTGAACAGCGCAGTGGCTGGCTTATATCCAAAGAAAAGAAAGATATCCAAAGATGCCTTTTAAAATTTTAAAAATTCTGTGTTTTTAAAACTAATGAGGATAACAAAAGTCAATGGTTTATTTTAATTATTTAGCCTGACCTGTTTAAAGTTCCAAAATAATGTATATGCTTCTTAGAATAAATTATATTGTGTTAAATAGGGAAAAATTTGTTGTTTTTTTGCCAAGACATTTAAAAAGAACTTATTTTAAAAGGAGATTACGGCAATACACCGTATTTTTTTTTTAATCCAAGGTTATCATGCCCATGCCTGCATGACACCTCTGTCAAAATTGGTTTAGTTAAAAGCCAATGTTATGTCAATGACCATAATGAGTCTTTGGTCACCAAACTGTAATTTTGTCTAAAGCGTAAGTCTTGTTTAAATATACCATAGTGTCCAACATCACAATTTTCATAAGTGAGTGTTGAAAATTTAGGAGATTGACTCTGTGTATAAACGTAGCTGTCACTCCTGAAATCTTAGGGCCTATATGCGAACACCAGTTATGTTTACATGTTACCAAGCTTCACAGTTTCACCCAGCACTGATTTGTAGCTTAAATGCTTTTCTGCAGTCTTATTAGAGTGTTTCTGTTCACTCCAGGCTGGTGTGTTCCACTCTCGTTCTGTAATTGTGCTCAAACAGAGCGGAGCTGTTCGCCCCTGGAGTCCACGCACACTTCACCTCTACTAACATTACACCATGTGTTTACAGCACTTTTTCTCCATTACCTACCATACAAACCACAGAGTTCCCTCATGTGACTGTAATGAAGCATTCACTGACAATCTGTGCACAGAATCAAGCTGTAGATATGCACGTTTGGTGAGGAAAACCGAAGGTTCGTATGTATTTATTCAACCCTGTTTCTCAATTATGCGTTTGAGAGGGCTGGGTATTTTTTCCGGGACGCGCATCACTGGAGCGAGAGTGTAGGGCCGTCAGGATCACTGCCCACTCGGCGCTCAGTAATTGTCAGCATGTGTATGTGTGCAAGCTGAAGGTACCATAACTCTCTCAGAAGATGAATGAGGAGGCAGTGGTCTGGTTGCTTTGTTTTCGTTTTTTACCTCATAGCCGACGGCGCCTCTCTTACTGTTTACACCAAATGTGCTCTGCTCGAAACAAAGACGTTTAGTTGTAGAACACTCACAAACACACGTGCTTTAAATCACACCCTCAAGTCTAAACACCAGGAAACTAGCTTGTTCGGTCTGGTCCATGGTGAGAGAGAGCTTAAGTGACTGTGCAGCTTTGGCTGTAGACACTGACCACAGCTATTTGTACTATTAGCGACATTAGCATGCTATGCTACACTTAGGCTCTGACTCCTGAGAATAAGCGCATACATAGGCAAGCGAAATTTAGCAATTCAATGCATAAATATCACAGCTCTCTCTCTTTCTCTGTATTGTATATCTAGGCCAAGCTGAGGTAACAGGGTGTCATCTGTGTTTCAGAGAGACAATGCTAGCTCATAGGCTAATTTCTTCACTTTTTTAGTCAAAGCTGTAACGCATCTTGTAAAATATAATAGGGGAATGCTGTAGTAAAATGAGGTTAATGTCCACACTTTCTACTGTGCAGTGGGCCGAAAGTGTGTGTAATAGCATTTGCTGCAGAAGTCTTATTAAACTTAATCCATGACAATAAGCCAGTTTAATTTGGTTTTATCACGTAGCATATCCGCCCCGTGCTGCTACCGATGCTAATGCAGTTAGGCAGCTTTCTCTGCTTGCTGAAACTGTGTGGAAGAGACACTTTTCATTTCTCTGCACAGTGAGAACTCCGGTCTGAAGGCTCAGATATAATCCAGTACCGCTAAACACCTAAAACGTAAGCAGGCCCACACAAAATCAGTGTGTACAAAATGACACTAGCGGGTTGATTTGATACGTAATTTGACTTACGCTTTAAGCTAGCAATAGAATTGGAGTACGTAAACATTTTACCATGATTTTTTCTTACAAATCTGAATTTACAGTTCTCCTTTTAGTAAGCCCGAATGATTAACATTAAATACAATATATTTATGCATTTTTGCCGTGAAAGATATATTTTGGGGGTCGTAAAAAACACTGTTGTAAGACACAATCTATCCTAACATATAGGATATAAACTAAGATGGAAACTAAAACATGTTTTGATTAACCTTATAACCTATGACTTACTAATTAATTATATTGTTTTAATTATATTTATAATAGCTTTAATTGTATTTATAATTATACATTTATATTTCACATCATCCAGTGGCTCTCTTGAAAGTTTGCTGAGGCCCCCTAGTGAGTCTCGGTCCCCTGGTTGTAAACTAGAAAACTACAGACGTACGGCAAAACCAAAAGCCTTTATTATGGTTTGGACTGTAAATGTTCATATTTGCATTGATTTATTGGAATAAAATCAATTAAGTTTGGGGGGATTAGTAAAATTTTTTTACCCTTTTAACACAGAAATTTGCTTTTCATGCAGTCTGTCACACAAAGGCGCGTATAATAATCATACAGTATAGTCGTAAAATAGAAAAAAAAATTATAATATATGCATAAGTGGCAAAAGAAAGGGGCAATAGCCATATCTGAATGAGGTGGGGGGAAGGGGAGGACGCTTGGGTCCTCTGTAAAATGTTTGAAGAGTGATTGAGTGATTGTGATTTCGATAGGAGTACCAGTAAATAAGAGACTCTCAGACAGGTGGGCTGATCTTGGTTCATGTTCTTAATTTGATTCTGATTTAAGTCAAATTTGTATATTCCACCTCTAGCTACTCTCAAGTGTGAACAGTACCTATAAACTAGGTCAATTCCTGCAGTATCCCTGGTTTTACAACCAATAGAGCAAGATTACAGGGAAAAAAACACACTCATCTAAATCCACACAGTTGCTCTAATTTAACAATATGTAAAAGATGACATGCCTAGCCGTGATCTTGAATGGCTCAGCCATTCTAATACAAAGTTAAATAATGGAGTAAGAGAAAGAGAGTCTGAGAGAGTCTATGACATTGAGAAACACTGAGATTGAATGGTGTCAGAATGCTGGCATATTGAGGTCATTTTGAAAAAGTGCTGCTAATTGCAGCAGATGGATTGAAAAGAAACATAGGGCTACACTGGGCTCCATGTATGATAAGGAGAACGAAACAGTGGAGGGGGAGAGAGACAGACGGAGACTCCCTGAGTGAAACATGCAGGAGCATGAGAGAAGTGATGGAAGGAGACACACAGGGAGAGGTTTTGTGAGGACAAAAGCACAAACCTAACAAATTTCCAACAGGAAGCAGATTTGTAACTGTACAAGACTCATGACTGGTGCAAACATGATCGTGTCTGTACAAACATTTACTGCAGTTTCAGGAGATTTGGTTTTGGTTGACTTTGGCACTACAGTTGGGGCTTCAGGCTTGATGTTTGGAGATACGCAAATAAAACACACCTCAATGAGCTAAACTGCAAACTATTTAAAAGACTAAAAAGTACTGTTTTTCAACAAATACTATAACAACTAAAATTAAACTAAACTACAAGTTATAAACTAAAAATTATGTAAAAATTAAAAGTTAAATTTTGGTTTTCACAGTGGTGCCACAATAGAATCAATCTGTGATCACCAAACATGCTATCAGAAAACAGTTCTCAAAAGAGTATTTTTAGGGTCAAAAACGCAATTTATATAGAACCTGACAATCTTAAAAACACTTGTGTGCATTGAAAATGTTCCCAGAAGGTTCTTTGTGGTACCATCATAGTCGACAAAGAACCTAGCAAATCTACATGTGGTTGTTTTCAAGATCACAAAGTCCAACAAATTTATAACAAGCTACTTTGTTTATATATATATACATAAACAAAGCACCTGCTTTGATGCTATTCACACTCACCATACAGGACAGCATACATATCAAAAAGCTTCTCTCCTGGTCTTACGATGCACCAGCCCCACATAGCCAACATGGAAATCCCTTTGTATCTGAGTAAACCTCTACACTTGATACACATTGGGTTTATATTACATGTTCCTTTCTGAGAAACGTGTACACACGTTCATTAGCTACTCTTAAGTATTTTAATTATAAAAATATATTCACTATTAGCCAGAATTAGGCCTTATTAGAACAAAATTAACGATGATAAAGCGACTTACAGTATGTTTGAACTGTTCCAGTGTACCGCGTGCCTGGCCGCAGTCACCAGGGCAAAGTTCGTGCAGGTGAGCGTCAGTAAAAAAAGACAGAGCGCGTAGAGTGCCATAATCCCTCGATCTCTCGCTTTTCTTCCCGGTCTTGCAAGATCTTCTCACCCCACGCGGCGCGGCGCTGGAACCATCCCGTTCGGTGAAGAAGCACTGGAAGAGATGCGACCTAACGCGCAGCTATCTCAACTATTCGAATGCTGTCTTATTGCAATATCTGGGTTTGTATTAAGTGTTTAAAAAGTCAGAATCCATGGCGGAGACCCCTTCCCTCTGTCCCCGAGGTGTCAACCCAAATCCAATAGTCCGACGTGAGACCACCGCTGGACGGAGCAGAGAGATGCAGGCAGCCGAGGCGAGTGGTGGAGTGGAGTTTAAATGCAGGAAAGAGAGAAGTGTGTCGTCTCCGTTGCACTGGAGAAACCCGAGAGATAACAGGGCTCCGTGATTGTAAAACTAATATGCGCTTTTGTTGGTCATATCAGCTAGGATGCGCGTGAGGATTCCTGCGCGCGGCGGCGGGATGTTTCTCACTTACAATTGTGTGACGAACAAGTGCTCGAGCTAGTTTTACTCGCTCTCTTTATTCGCCATATCCACTGCTCTGCTTTCTCTCTCTCTCTCTCTCTCTCTCTCTCTCTCTCTTTTACACACACACACACACACACACACACACACACACACACACACACACACACACACACACATAGAGCAGCACGCGCGCTGTTTGGTAGGCTGTGCTCGTTCAATCTTCAGCTCCGCCTCCTGAACAGGACAAAAGCGCGCGTCCGTTTGCTTCAGCTCTCAGTCTTTCAGAGATGCTTTCGAGATGCTGCTCTCGCAACGGACGAGAAAAACTTTATTTGAAATCACTAAACAATTAGTGGCACTGGGACTGTTCCTAGAGCAGTTTTAATTACCCACCACCACAATCCTCTTACTGTCTCTTGTCAGAGTGCAGTGCTGTATATCCTATTATCCGCAAACCTCCATCCTTCCATCCACACCTGCTCGCTCAGACAGTGTAAGTCTTTTCTAATATGGAATAATTATGGGAAATCCTCTTAGGACAGTGAATGGATTGATGGATTGGCTCATCTCTATCTCCGTCCTTCACTCATGGGATCTCCTCACACACACATAAAAGATTGTGAGCTGTTGTTAATGTTCATTTCATAGTAATGAGTCTCTCCTGGTCCTTTGTGTGCCCGTCTGCATCATTTGTTTTACGATAAAATCAGAGCAATTTGAAAGATGTGTCCCTTCTGCCAAGGTCTGCCATACTTGTATTAATGCAAACCTGTAAACATAAATTGACTTTCCCAAAACTGATGTTAGTACTTCAAAACATTTCTGTGTAACACTATAAATTAATGAAATATGATATTTTACAGTAAATTTGTAAATTAATTTACGGCTTCTACCATATGTTTAACAGTAAAATTCTGGCGACAATCTATCTATCTATCTATCTATCTATCTATCTATCTATCTATCTATCTATCTATCTATCTATCTATCTATCTATCTATCTATCTATCTATCTATCTATCTATCTATCTATCTATCTATCTAAAAATATATGTGATTGTTTGTGCTACAGTACAAATCGGTAACTTGGTAAACCGTTAGCTCCCTTGACTTCCCAAAATATATTTTAGTACTTCAAAACATTTGTAAATTATTTTACTGTTTCGACTGTATGTTTAACAGTAAAATTCTATCTATCTATCTATCTATCTATCTATCTATCTATCTATCTATCTATCTATCTATCTATCTATCTATCTATCTATCTATCTATCTATCTATCTATCTATCTATCTGTCTATCTGTCTGTCTGTCTGTCTGTCTGTCTGTCTGTAGTGCTGTCGCCTCACAGCAAGAAGGTCGCTGGTTCGAACCTCGGCTCAGTTGGCGTTTCTGTGTGGAGTTTGCATGTTCTCCCTCCGGGTGCTCCGGTTTCCCCTACAGTCCAAAGACATGCGGTACAGGTAAATTGGGTAGGCTAAATTGTCCGTAGTGCATTAGTGTGTGTGTGTGTGTGTGTGGATGTTTCCCAGGGATGGGTTGTGGCTGGAAGGGCATACGCTGTTGAAAAACTTGCTGGTTCATTCCGCTGTGGCGACCCCAGATTAATAAAGGGACAAAGCCGACAAGAAAATGAATGAATGAAAATGCTACAGTACAAATCGGTAACGTGGTTAACCATAAGTTTACTTAATAAATGCAATGAATTACCATAAATTGACTTTCCCAAAACTGATGTTAGTACTTCAAAACATTTCTGTGTAACACTATAAATTAATGAAATACGATATTTTACAGTATATTTGTAAATTAATTTACAGCTTCTACTATATGTTTAACAGTAAAATTCTGGCGACAATCTATCTATCTATCATCTATCTATCTATCTATCTATCTATCTATCTATCTATCTATCTATCTATCTATCTATCTATCTATCTATCTATCTATCTATCTATCTATCTCTATCTATCTATCTATTTGGCTGTCTGTCTGTCTGTCTATTTGGAAGGACAGATGAATAAATAATAACTGCATCATAATAGTATCAATACAGTAAAAGTGCTATGTAATATTACATAAAGGTCAATGCCATGATACCTTAAAACATGTTGCCTTGGTGATAGTGGTGATAGTTTTAGCTTTTTTAAAGTTTTTTTTTTTTTTTTTTTTTTTTTTTTTAGGAATGAGAAAAAGCGAGCAAGCGAAAGGTAGGAGAGAGTTGCAGAGGAGGGATAGTTGCAGTTTGCCTCCCGTCTGCTGGGAATGAGTTGGTTAAGGAGAAGTCAAAATGATTTATTGGGAGAAAAGGAGGGAATAGAGGGAGAGAGGACAGTGAGAAAGAGAGGAAGAGATTAGGTGTCATTGGGGAATCCCTCTGTCTTTTTGTCTTTTCCCTTTTTTGTTTTTACTATTTCTCACCTGTCTGTCCACCCCTCCCTGTCCATTTGCAAAGCACACCCCCCAACACAGACACATTTGCCAGCTCCTCCTGTCTTTGCCCTACACCCATTGTGTCAAGCTACATTGACTCTTTCGAAGTCTATTTCTGTCCTCCTTTTGTTCGCTCACTCTCTCGTGATCTACCTCTGTCACCTTCTCTGTGTGCCTCCCTCTCATCGGCCTGCCATCTTTCTCTCCGCAAGAGTTTCTATGGCAGCAACGAAATATTTCACTCCTCTTTTTAACAGTTTTTCCTGCACCCTGTCAGCACACAAGTTTTTGGGACTCCAGCGAAAAAAAATGCAAATTGGTATGGTTAAGTTTTGAGGAAAATGTTCTCTTTTCAACATCTCCACACTCACACACACATGCAACGATTTTATGTATTTTAAGTATGTTGCAAATTGAGTTTGAATGTTGCAATCATAAATAGCTCCTAAATTGTAATATTCGAGCAAGCCAGTTGAGCACTCTCCCTAGATTGAGAGATTTACATATCCTTTCTATTCCATCCTTTTTTCATTTCTTTATTTATGACGATTCAAACCATTTTATATAACCATGACGGGCCATTGTCAGTTTTCATAAAACATCTTTCATTTGCAATGCTGCCTCCCAATTCAATTGCGTCTCTCTGTCTCGGGAGCAGATGATGAAAAATGGTAGTGTATCATTTTCAGGCCCCGTGACACCGTGGCCCTTATGACATTTAGCTCGGGGAGTTCCTGCTCAGCTCTATCCGTCACATGGCCAGTTCTCGCTCACAAATCCAATCTTCACACACTCATAGCCTTCAATCTAATAGAGCATTCAGCTCTTGCCCAACTTTGATTTGCTTTCAGATATAAAACATCCAACTAAAACACAAACACATCGCGTGGGTACGGCTGACCTCCTGACACATGCAGTTCTCTCTCTGTGACTGGAAAGGTGACACAGCATCATCATCATCGTCACTCTGATGACATCAGGGCACACCGGAATAGACTCTGTAGACTGTTGTATAAAAATGTAGATTTGTATTTGCCTGCATTTGCCCACATTCCCAAATCTCATTTAAAATATCACACCATGGGAATCTAGGACTTGCAAAATAGAGCTGCATGATTCTGGCTAAAATGAGAGTGTTTTTTAGACTTGTTTGCTATATTCGGAAAACTTAAATGAGATATTCGAAAAAGAACATTGATCAAAATAAGAGAACGCTTTCAGATTCCTTCCATTTAACCACTTAATTATCTGACAAACTCTATTTACCGTCAGACTAACAATCCAGTTTTAAATGATTTTTAAAGATGGTCAGAGCAAAGGGATGACCATAGCAAGAGAAGTTGGTCGTTCCAAATCTGTGCTTTCTGGAATAATTAAGCCTAAAAGACAATTTGATAAAGACAATAGCGTAATGTGGAGAAACCTATAGGCAATAAACTAAACACTAGAAACACTATATTTTCCCTTGGCGTATGGTTTCTTGTATACAAGAATTTGGACTGAAAGTCCAGTGACCAAACATCTCATCAGAAGAAAGAAAGAAAGAAAGAAAGAAAGAAATCTGAGTTTTGTCAGGTTAGCCTTTTAGCAAAGCTTTAGACGCTTTATTGCTGCAATCTGTTTGAAATTCATTCATTCATTTAATGTCCTTTTTACTTAGTTCTTTATTTATGGTCACCACAGCTGAATGAACTGGCAACTTATCCAGCATATGTTTTACAAAGCAGATGCCCTTCCAGCTGCAACCCAGTAATGGGAAACACTCATACAATCTCACATACACACACATACACTACAGCCATTTATGGACTGTGGGCGAAACCGGAGCACCCGGAGGAAACCCACTCGAACACGCAAAGAACATGCAAACTCCACACAGAAATGACAAGTGACCGAGCTGGGACTCAGTGCCTTTCTTGCTGTTTGAAATAAAATGAAGTAAAATAAAAACATCTTTACTTGTTTCATTTCTGAATGAATCATCATTTTTGAACAAATCAAATAAATTATTCATGATAAATGCTTTTTTCACTTACTGGCCTAAAAATGTTATTGATACAACCTTCATTTAAACTGTCAAGATATTTTCACAAATTGATTTGCTGTATTTATCTACAAATCAGTTTTTATTTAAAAAAATTTACTTTATCTCACTTTAAAAGACTAAAGACTGAAGCTGTTACATAACTATAGATGTCACCTTCTGTCTTACTCTCAATACTTATTTCAGCTCCTGTCAAAATAAAACAAATGTTTTCTTTTTGCTTTATCTGTGCCAGTAATATAAAAATGGCATAAGAAAACAAAACAAACAGAATCACTCATGTTTTATTCTGTAAATGGCTGATGACATTTCTTTCAAATTTAAAATAAAAATTTTGTCATATAGAGGTTGGACAAGACACTGTTGTTTCAGAAGAGTTACGAATTGATTTAATTTAATGGAATAATCCTATAATTTCCAATCACAACAAGTAAAAAACATTTGTTGTTTTGATCATTATTTTTAAAATGTTTTATGCTCTAAATTAAAATTATTTATTTGACATTTAGAATAAAAAAAAAATAAGAATTTACACA